CCACTCATCGGTGTATGATCATAATTACAGTCAGTAGTGATTCAGCTAACGCTACTCGTTAGTTGTTAAAGCATGTTAGTTATATTATTACATCTCCTTACTCCAATAATCTGTCCTTGGTTTCTATTTCAGCTTAAATACTCAAACAATACTTTACGCCCTAAATAAAGATAGTAATTATTACAATAATGAGTGTAATGAATTATATCTATATGTAAAATTGAAAGTGTATTAGCTACGTGGTGGAGTGTCCTCATAGTTAAGCAGTACTGTAAGAAGCTAGAAGTCAAAACACAGGATGAACTAAAGTTACAACGCAAAATACATTAAATAGTATGTTAACTCATAAGGCCTGCCCAAAAACTCTGGTTGAATAATTATGATACTTCATAAGCATTTGAATATACAGGGGGTTAGAACAAGGTCTACATTGACAATTTAGGGCTATGACTTTTTTTTTTTTTTTTGGACAATCCAAACTGTCCAAAATCCAAAGATACTCAGTTTTCATATTATTAATTAATATTGTTATATAAAACAGACAAACCACAGAATGGCATATGTTTTCCTGATAAATGGCTTTAGCAACTAATCCATTATCAAAACTAGAAGTCAGAGGGAGTGTGCGCTCTACCAAAAATAATGTTCAGTGAAAAGATCATCATTATAAGGTAAAAAAAATGTAAAACTCAACTGATATCTTATGTGTTTGTGTGTGTCTGTTGTTCTGTAGACACCTAGTTGTCACAATGGCAGAAGGAGGAGATGTAGAATGGGAGCTGAGCAAAGAAAACATCCAGCCACTGCGGCGAGGCAGAGCCATATCAGCCTTACATCAGGCACTCAGTCAACAACAGGATGGACTCAGCTCTGCCATCCACCAGCAGAGACAGTATGATCTTTCAAACATTGCACCCGGATTGGGTGACAGAAATTTCTGCTGAACACTTTCCTTTGCAGTTTTCACACAATGACGGAGGTTTTGTTTCTTTTTGTGTCTCCAGGGCCTTTGAGTCTGAACTGCGAATGTATGACGGAGATGATCCACTCGATGTTTGGGATCGGTGAGTCAGATTTGTAAACAGCGTATTCATATGTGCTGCTCCTAAATCTGAGAGGTTTTACGTTTAATCCTCACATGGTTCTGTCTTTCACAGGTATATCAAGTGGACAGAGCAGACCTTCCCTCAGGGAGGAAAGGAGAGCAACCTCGCCTCGCTGTTGGAACAAGTCGCGACTAAATTCACGGAGGAAAAGAAATATCACAACGACCCTCGTTATGTTGATATCTGGATCAAATTTGTACGTGTAATATTTTAACCTCTGACCTCTTTTGCTGCTTTGAAAAACTACTGCAGCAGTAATAACTTTTGCCATATGTGTGTATTGTGTGTCATTAGGCAGAGAACTGTCCCGAGCCCTTGGACATATACAGGTACATGCAAGCGCAGGGAATTGGAGTGACACAGGCATCTCTTTACATCGCTTGGTCTGAGGAATATGAGAATCAGGGCAACTGTCGCAAAGCAGACCTGGTGTACCAGGAGGGATTCAAGAAGTTTGCTGAGCCGCATGATAAGCTCCTGCAGTTTCACAAGTACGTAGTCTTCCAGTTAAGTTTGAGATGTAGTTTGAAAATGTTAAATATTGGCATAATGACATTTTTTTTATTGTATTGTTATTGGTAGGGCTTTGCAGGCACGTGTGTCCCGACAGGTGATGATGGAGGTGGAGGAAGACGATAGTGATGATGAGGCTAGACAAGCTGAGAGAGTTTCTCTAGCTGACCTCAAACATAGAGGGAAGAAGAAGGCCATTGCCCCGATCAACAGAGCTGGGCCTGCAATCAGAAGTAAGCAAATGAATATACAAATAACTGCTACTATTTTAAGCGGATATTTCCAGCACCTTTAAATATCAGCATTATCCTTTTATATAATGTGATGTTTGATGGGTTTTGTGAACAGGTATTTCTGGAGGCCTGCAGTCACGCAGCAACCCGGTTCTTGGCAATGTTTCAAACAGTCGGATGGTGATCTTTGATGAGAACAACATTGAAAGTGCTGGCCCTTCAGAGCCTAAATTAGAGTCGTGGGTGGCCCCTCCAACTTCCAGGGCAAAGGAGAATGAGCAGAGGCCTGAAAGATGGTGTGATGTAAAGGTACGAGACAAGCAGCAAGTTGTTTTTGTTCATTTGAAATGGAATTTAACCGAGTGATATAAATTTCATATGTGTGTACCTTAGATGCCCCAGAAGACCAAATTCGGGCATACTGTTATGGCCCCACCGCCTCCCAAACCCAGCTTCCAGCCATTTGTGGAGGAGTCAGACCAGCCTCCTACAATGTGAGTGACTAAAAGAATCTAACCTTTATTACTTACTTTTATTTGCTGAATATTTCATTTACATCACACATTCAGGTTTGTGAAGAAACAACATATACCTGAAATTGATGACTAGCACTGAAGTGAATCAGTCAACAATTTTAATAATTAAATTAAATTAAATGTGTAGCATTTAGTGGCATTTAGCAGTTTAGTTGGTGATTGCAACAGCCCCGCCTCACGTTGCCATTCCAAGAGGGTAGGAGAAACTACCAAAGGCCCTATGTAGAGCCGGTGTTTGGTTTATCCGGTCTGACCCACTCCCTCTGTAGATAAAAATGGCTCATTCTATGGCAACAAAAACACAACACTTCTTATTTTCAGGTGATCATTCACAAATGAAAACCTACTCTGATGATTTATTATATTCATTTCTGCCAATAGATTCTCCTAAATGTTACACACATGGACCTTTTAAGTAAAGCGCGGTCCTTTAAATTTGTAATAAATTTGCTACTTTTCTTGTATTGCATATAATTGTAAGTTAAATGAAAAACGATCATTCTTTTAGGAAAATAGCAAAACAATCCACACCATGTGTTGGGTTGTGGTCATTTAACAGTTATTACTAGTTTTGGCCTTTTGTAATAGACACAATTAATACATACATCTGAATAATGAATGAATGAAGTCCTATTCATGAGTTTAAGTTAATACTTCTTGGGCTATGTTTGTAAAATTTCTTAGATTTTCTTTGGTATGTTCCTTCTCACCCTCAGGACTCCATGTAAGATCAACCCGGCAGTGAACACAGTTTTATCATTGCGTAAGCCGGGCAGAGAGGAAACCCCTCTAAAGAGACTGCAGGAGCACCGTCAGCAACAGAAGGAAGCAGAATCAGGAAAACTACAGGAGCAGAGCATGTACTGTAAAGAGCTGCTGCTCAGTGGCGCCACAGAGTTCTGCTTTGAGGAACTGCGCACTGAACGCTATTTTAAAAAGATGGTACCGAAATCACATGAGGTCGGAGGTCAAAAGGATCAACCTAGTGCCAGTGCTTCAAACTGATGCATCTTAGAAGACTGAAAATGTTATCCTTTTTTTAATCTTCATTTAGACGAGATTTTATCCACAAGTATCATGTCATCACTGTAAATATTTTGTTCAGAGAGATCCAGTTACCTTAAAAAGGTAAAAAGACGAGGGGCATTTCAATTCAGTAGAAAATACTAAACGGATGGGAAGATGGGAATAAACATCTGCACAATTTCAACAAAAACAACATCGGCTTCACAGCAGTATTATTGAAGGGCTGCTGGATTGTATCTATGTTATGTGTACTGTCCACTCTTTGTAAATACTAAACACATTAGTCTACCACAGCTCATGTCCCTGCAGATGAAATACTACTCACACTCACTACTCCCAATTTTACTGTTGACCATTTTTCAGTTTTTCTGTTTTTTGTTTTGGGGTTTTCTCTTATGTGTGCTTTTTAAGTTCAGTATTTCTTGAACGGATGTTTCATTCCAACACAGTTGAGAGATGGCTTCAGTGAGGTGATTCAACTGGGTTTTATGTCTGAGTGAAATGTCCCTTCTTGGCCATGTGTCATTGAGGTTCATTAAACTTAATGTCTGGCTGATGTCTATTGGATTTTTTTGTGTGTTATTTTAAGATGGAGGTGGTTATAGTATTGCACTGTCAGCAGGGGGCATGCAAGGTAAAGCATAGAATGTATTCCTTGTGATGGTATTTGGATTACTAATGGAGCACTACGACAATTTAGTGTTGACTGTAATCTGTTGCTGCAGTTTATAGAGTGGGCATGAGGAAAATCAGAAACCGCATTTAAATAGTCATAAATGCCATCATTATTGCTACTTATTCTAATGAAGTGACTTAATTTAACTACCTCTTTTTAAAGAACCCCCAATATCTGCCAGACTCTTAGTCGCAAATCATGCATCCAGCTGGCCCGAATGTTAATCATTGTCCAGGAGAGGTTACCCAGAAGCCCGCTGACTGAAGTGGTGGGAGTAAACCTAATCTACTGTGATGATGGGATGTACTTCACACAGGCAGCTCGCGGGGCAGACTTTGATGAATGGCTGGAAGATAGGTGGTCGGCTCATTAGCAAGTGAAATCCACTCTGTTGCAGTGGTGGGCAGCACAAGCCTCGATTATCCCCAAGAGGTCAGTATCTTGATGTACTATGGCGCACAGTGTTGCTGCTTTTAACATGCGCACGGAGCACTGGAGGAACAGACTTTAATCTCATATTGGAAATATGACACTACCAGCCAAGATCCTCTCAACTGGTGAGTTCCCAAACTGTCTGCTTTAAGTTTTTGGCTTAGCATTGAGAGCAGCTGACATTCAGTGATAAATGATAGGCAATATGATGCACTCCCATCATAATAACACAGCATAACCACATCATAATGCATCCTCTATGGCTCGCTGTTTGGCAGGATATTAGAAGCTCATCCCGTGGAAGCAAGCAGCCAGTGACTCCGATAGCGCCCCAGACACAAAATCCATAGTTTTCTCTCACTGCAGTGGACAAGCTACCTTAATGTGCTTTGGACAGGCCCTCAGAGAAGAGCTTTTGTCCACCGCTGTTGCTCTGATGGACAAGAAACACTCAGGCTCTGTATGAGCCATGTTTTACAGTCAGAGCTCTTAACCTATTTATGCGGTTTATTTACATGCACCAGTTCACTGAAAGTTCTCTTCCCGAGTCTTTACAGTACCTTCCCTCAGAAGTCGGAATACATTTTGTATCGAGGTGAATTGCACATGGCCAGCCGTGCGCGGTGAGGGAAGAGCCTCGCAAAGTGCAGCAGTAAATCATGAGAACAATTTCTTAGGAAAAGACATTTGTATGGAAGCTCATTTCAGCCAAAAAAAAAAAAAAAATGAAAGGTCATGATAATAAAAATGTCACTCTCAGAACTGTGACTTACTGTTTTATAATTCTTACCTACGATATTATGATTGTGAATTGCTATTTGTTAATTTTGAATTTCTGTCCCATAACTTTGATCTACTATCT